TTATATGCCCCGGTTATGCACAGTATACATGTGATTGTATGGAATGAAATGGAAATAAACATTTTTTTAAAAGTCGGTTTGGTTTTTTTATAAAGTCACTCGCATACTTGAATACTACTTTACCAAACACAACTCAGGTTTATTTTTGTAAAATAATTTATCAACCATCAGAATTTATCACCCATCACACCAAAGGAAAGAATGAAACCATACAAAGGGTGTGTGTATGTGTGTATGATATATTGAGTAACCTTGACATTTGAAGGTTATCTGATCTGAAATGGGGAAAATAACAAGTGAAGAATTGCCAAAAATCATGAGAACTGGCGCCAAATGTTGAACTGGATATGAGAGGAGAGGGATATTAACAATTATTTCGGAAATTAAATGAAATAGGTGCATATCGGAGTGAAGCAGATAGAAAATTTAGCTAAACCCCATATATTATTAAAATAAGCATCTTCCTGGTTCACTTTGACAATATATTTTTAAATATCTGAAGAATGGGACTGGTTGACACCCACATAACTTAAAAGGTTAAAAAAAAAGATCCTTCTGTAACTAAAGTTGACCAAAAATGTGTCCAACAATCCTCTGTTAAGTTCAGTTCCAGGATAGAGAGAAATTGGGGGGGGGGGGAATGATTACTTGGAACATATTGAGTAATAATTTAAACAATGTCACAAATGAAGTGGAGAATGCAAATATTATCTCAGATGAAGTGTTTGGAAGTGCAATGCACTGAAATATGTAAACAATATGCAAGCAATTGCTATCTTCTTTATATAACATCCTGTGAGATCCACCTTCATGAACCATTAGACTTCCAGTCTTCCTGAGCAGATAATAATGTTTAGTGTATTTTTGTCTCCAGATCCCACTTAACATACATACATATGAGAAGGAGCCACAGATTCCTAAATGCAAAATTTGGAATTAGCCAGTTTTGGCTGGTTTTGCAGCCTTTTCTCTATATGAGGAAAATAAATTCTTGTAATGATGTTCTAGATTGTTATGTCTACACCAGTGGTGGGTTCCTACCGGTTTGGACCGGTTTGACCAAACTGGCAGTGGTTTGGTGGCCTGGGTCGTTGGAACCAGCAGCGAGCCAGGCCTGCCATGCCCCTGAACCAGTTCTCCTGGCAGTGCCTATAGCAATAGCAATAGCAATAGCAGTTAGACTTATATACCGCTTCATAGGGCTTTCAGCCCTCTCTAAGTGGTTTACAGAGTCAGCATATCGC